GGACCCCGTTGTCGAGGGGCAGATCGGTAATTCGCTCCTCGCGGTCGAGGAGGACGAGGCGGAAGTCTCGGAGGTTCTTGGAGTGGGTGCCGAAGGACTCGAGGGAGGCGTTGGTAATGTCGGAGACATAGATGGCGATGTACTCGATCTCGAGGCAGCCTTGGGCTAAGGCGGTTAGACCTCTCTGGGTCACGACTCCCTCGACGTCCTCAATGTCCTGCTCATCGGCCCCGCGCTCGATTCGGAGGCGTTTCATTCGCTTGCAGAATTCGGCAAGCACCTCCACTCCTCGGTCCCCGATCACGTTTCTCGTCTGTGAATGTAAAACACAAAAAAATACTGAAAAGGAGAACAAATCACTAGAACGCGGATTTTTTTTTCTGTAATACGGCTAGATTTCATTCGTATTCAATCGAAAGGGGAAATGAATGGCGAGGAGCGGGAATAAAACCAGATTCACAAATTATGCCGAGCTTCATCACATTAGACCTTTTTAAATCTCAACATAGGTAAACAAGTAATTGCAATGGTGAATTCAAATGAGAGAAAGATGAGGTTAATCCACAAGGTAGCTCAAGTTTCCAATATATAGTTCCATCTTATTTTGATAACATCTGATATATATTTAGCTATCATCAGAGCATGAGGTACTCAGAAACTTAATCAGATAAAATAGGAAGATTTAAGTAATACGAGAGAGAAGGAATAATATGAAACGACATAAAAATTAGCGAACACCTCGACATTTACCTCAAGTATTTCTAAGTTAGGACATCTTTGCAGCAAAAGACAATGGCCTTCAGTGTCCAGCAGAGCATAGAGGAGATCCAATCTTTTAAGCCGTGAAGCAATAGGATAGAGAATGGGCATATCTGTGTTTCCCAGGTAAGTAAGAGCCAAGCGGCACAATTTTGGTGGGAACGCAGCACCGCCATATCTTTCCAATTGCTCATTATAAACAACTTCACCAACCTGTCCAGGGGGGTCGCTAAATGAGCCCCCACAAAACTCCTCTAATGAAGTAGCAGCTTTGAAAAAACCAACGAGGTCAGAAATATCACAATCGCTAATTTTCATCGTCGTCAAAGATGGACAATTTCTTGCAATCATTTCAAGGTCGCTAGAACTGACTTGCATAAGCTCAGTCATGTAGAAGTTCAAACTTTCAAGAACCTTGTTGTTCTGAGCAAGCACATGCAACCATTGTCCATCGTTCTCTGTTATTGAACTCTCTTCCAAAAATAAGCTCCTCAAATTCCTAATAGAACATAAGTTAAGCTCATTAAACAAATGATATTTTTTTTTTTACATAGAGAGAGAAGCAGAAACGCTATAGCTACTACACAGAGCCAAAGAAAGCAGAACTTCCGTAAACTGTTTATCCATATATTCAATTTTGCAAATTGTAGCAGTCGCATTCAGAACTACAGAGTAGGTAAAAGAGCATGGCACAGTTGAATAATGTAATACCCAACCTAAAACATGCATTCGTAATTGGTAAACAAACGAGACATGACAAGAAAACAGTACTCCACAACATAAATCCACAAAAAAACCAATGTGACTTCTTTTATGCAGAACGTTGCTAAATTTTTATTATGCCTTCATAAAACCATTATGTTTGTTTTCTAGGTACTACTACATTCATACTTAAGACACAAAATCTTTCACAGAAAACGATTGCAATTCCTTGAAGGTGAGTTACTCCCATTATCATCAACATCAACATCAACGTCAACATACCCAGTATATTCCCAAACGGGTTGGGGTCTGGGGGGTCAGTTGTACGCAAACCTTACCCTTGTAATTATACAAGGAGGCTGTTTCCATAGCGACCCAAGATGCATTGCGTCGTTTGATATATTTTTTCTAGAAACTTCACTAATAGAAGAAGCACTAGAATTTGAATTGAGCCATTTTGATCTAGTCCATTATTAGCACTATGCCAGGAGAATTGTCAACAATGACTCTTCTAGCTCCATGTGCAATGGACATAGTTACTCCCATTATCACCGAATCAATAATCTAAATGACAGCAATCTAATGGTGTTAACAATGACATCAGCATTTAATTTGTTTTGTTTTCACTAGAAGACATAGAGGTAAATCCTATCTACATTCTTATTGCATACCACTGGTTTTGTGTAAATGTTTCTTGAAACCCTGAGAGTTTCCTCATCTGTGATGATGTAGATCTTTGTCAAATTTACATGTGCTCGGATTTAGACCAATACAATTGACACTGATACAAAAATACAGAGAACAAATAGAGTAACAGATATGTTAATAGATAGGTTAGTCATATGACCTCTCTGAAATCAAGCATCTCATCTTTCCAATGTCTAATCTTATCCCTGACAATTTACACTCTTCCATCATTAAGCATCTATAGGAGAAAAACCATCACAAAAATAAAGTGATATTTTCTATGACCATTAGAGAAACTTAATTTACTTCTACATTTAGATTAAAAGAAAAAAAAAAAAAAAAGAAACGATATTTGTTCAAGTTAATGGCCATGTTGACATTATCACAGATCTCACTGAATTTGTGCTTTTTCTTTTTTCCCTTCAAGCTCCAGCGACAGGCTAGATTGCCTTTCACTGACCTATGTTCGGGTTTACAAGCACCATCATTGAGGACAATTGATGTTGAAGTGCATATAAGAGCCCTAACTAAGTTATTGTGCCATATGGAATGTAAACCTGAAGTAGAGGTTCTGCTAACTGGACACTATCACACATACCTTACAGGAGATTCCTATAAATTCAAGAGAGTAACGTGCCATTTCACCAAAACATTACGTAAAGTTGAGAAAAGAAGTTTAATGAGAGCAATCTAATCGGAATCACACATGAAGAAAGAGAGAGGTCATATAACTTTTCTTGGCAGTCATGCACTCAATGATCTAAAGAATTGGTCACTGGTCACTGGTCAGCTAGTATGAAAAAAAAAAAAGTCTTTCCTGGTTCAATAGTCAATGCCAAAAAAGTATTTTTGACTCGATATTATCAATTCTATTGAGGTCTAATAACTTGCAGCCATCAACCTTTACTTTCAAATCATGAGGGGACAAATTCCAATCCTCATGACAACTTGAATTTGAAACAGCAATCCAACAGTCAAGACAAGTCTGGTAGGAATGCTTGATGACAAGTTCAATCGAGAACATCGATAGATTATGACAAATTGGTCATACGTACATAAGAATAAGCTTTAGGAGCCATGTTCAATAACACGTTTCTTGCCGGTTTGACTACAAAATGACATTCAATCTCTCCTCGCACGTGTAATCTGTTATTTGGATAGCTTTTTTTAGAGAAATTGGCTGGTATGTTTTCTTTTTTTGCCCCAACTGAACCAGTCACAAAAACTGAAACAGCATGGACAATTGAATTCCGAAAATAGCTGGAGAAGCTTTCACTGCAACATATATAGCTAAATGCTTTTTTTTTTATTTTTTTTATTTTTTTCATTTTTCAAGACTTAAGCTAAAAGAATAACTAAGAGTTTGTTGCACTGAGATACAATCAGAGGTTATGAAATGACTTGGCTCATTTGACAACTCACAGAATATAGAAACTAAAACTGTAAGCAACATATATTGATGAACCTCAAACCATTTACATACACCAATTAATGAAACACAGCCCCAAAATAACAAGTAGCAGTCAAAAAACTTATAACAACAAATCATTTATATCTTGACTTCCTCAAAGGGAAAAAAAAAAACTACCGAGAGATATCCCAGAGAGTAATTATTTCCCATACACAGCAAAAGATAGGAGTAGAAAAGAAGATATAAAAATAGCAAACAGAAATTAATACAGTAAATACTCGATAGAGCACTTTGAAATGAAAATTCAAACATACTTCCAGGCTCCAGCACGTTTAACTACCTGCACGAGCGCGTGATATGCAGAAGCCCATCGGTAGAGAAACCCGAACATTTATCCAACCTCAGGACTTCCAAAACCTCCCCAAAGGAAGCAGCCAGCAGCTGGAGATCCGAATCCTTGACAATCATCCTCCGGAAGTGCAGCACCTTCATCCTCCCAAACGACCTGACGATCTCCTCCACCCAGGGGGCGACGTACCCGCCCCAGTCCTCCGGGATCAAATTGAACATGGCGGCGCGCGGTTTTCCCTTGAGCTTCAACGACTCGAGTTGTGGGAACCTCCGGGACAGCCTCCACGGGGGAGCAGTGTAGCAGAGCGCCATGGTCACGTGCTTGCGCGTGATGGCGTCGATCTCGTACCAGCGCTTGCACACGAGGGACACCGCGCCACGGTCAAGCGGGTCCTCCACGTATGGGATCACGCACTCCCACACGGTGTCGTCGTCGCCGTCGTATCCGCCGCCGCCGCCGCTGGTGGTGCAGCCACTGATCTTCTTCAATCTACCTTCATCCATGGATTCTGCCACTGGAATTCAAGCTAGCATATGAGCTAGGCGGAGATTGGGGGAGAGCTTGGCCGGAGTGTGGTGGCGGAGAGAGAGAGAGAGAGAGAGGGGTTTGTGCAGTTATACTGATGAGAAATGAGGAAGGAGATAGTAAATGGAAGGGGACTGAGGAGAAAAGGACAAAGGTAATTAGTAAAGTGTATCCAATAGGGAAATCGCACGTCGGGCTACCAAAAATACCTGCGCATTTCTCGTTGAAAAATGTTAAATTATGACAAATTTTGGATTAGTCGGTTCCCCTATGAATCCGAAAACCGGAAGATTCATGTACCAAAAAAATTATGACAAATTTTTAATTTAATTTTTTTATACAAACTCTACTTTCATTAAATTATCTTATTTGTCTCATTCATTCATGTCAGTTTTCAGTAAGATAACCTAATTTTTTGTGATTGGTTTTATGGGTCACGTTAATTTTTTATTAAATTAATTTAGTTTCATGGGTTATGTTACCTTAATTCAGGATATATTATAATAAGAATAACAATTTATATTTTTTATTTGTACTGTTTTTTTATTATTGAATTTATAAGATATTCTAGTTTAATTTTTTTTTATTATATTTATCTATTTTCAGTTTTTCATTGTAGATGCTTAAGAAACAACCAACTAAGATATTGTATTAATAGCAATACAATATTTTGTATTACAACAGTATTTTGTATTAATTGGAAATTTATACCTGAATTAGTTTACATGTAGAATAATTTTCAAAAAATTATATTATTTAATATTTAAATGACATCGGTTACTTGGATCACCTACTTATCTTATATTATAATATTTTTGTGACTCGTATTATATGATAAGTGTTGACATTCGAGTTGAGTTGGATGGATTTAGAATTAAGTATTAACGCTAAAGTGAAGAAATAAGAGTCAAGTCGGGGGAATCACGAGCAAAAGCCAACCCTGGAAACATGAACGACCAAGACTCGAGCAAGAAGTAGGCGGGATACCCAGGTCAGGTAACCATAGGTGGAAGCCCAACCTGGGAAGGACTCACGACTTGTACACAATAAGCCAAGAGTTAACATCTCAGGTCCAAGCTAAAATACCGAGTCGACATATAATACTATAATGAAGATAACTTGCAGCCACATCATTAAGGATGGGACAAGCACGTCGAGAAACCTGTCAACCTACCCACAAAAAGCTTCATATGGTCATGTGCATTATTAATGTGTGTCCTTTCCATTTAATGCTCAATTGTACTACTCAAGAAACAGTAATCGGGTCATTCCTACTTAATAGTCCTAAGATTCCATTAGGGTTCAGAAAATCCTTTGTATAAGAGACATATATTCTCGCATTAATTGCATCATTAAACACGAGCACTCAGCGTCAATTGCTAGAATATCCAACCTCAATATTACTTAATTTCGTCCATTCTCGTAGTATACACATAATCTAAATGGCTTAATCACTTCGTTGCCAGCACTAAACTGGTGCTTTGGGTTGATCAAATTTGGTGATCCACAGTTTGGAGGTAGAGGAATAACTCGTATTGTTTGAGGTTTACCAGTCGACTTGAAAACAACACATCCATAGTTGAAATTGTATGAGGTAATTAAAACTTCTGAGATGGAAGAAACCAACCCAAACTGGTCTCAAGGTTTCCAATGAAAGCTTGTGTGTGGAATTTTAGAGGTTTGAGAGGACCTATGCAATATCCAGTTCAAGCATGCGTTACGTAATAGTGAGGTTTCTGAATCCAGTGGGTAGATCAGCATCCAATATCTCCTGGAAAAAATGGTGCGCTCGATTCTCCTATACTTTAGCTAGCAGCTTTTGGATATGAGCTGGCATCCTCTCAACCACTAGATCAAGATGATCTTCCATTGCCGAGCTACTTCTCGGTCTCTCCCCTCCTTGTCGTCTAGTGGGGTTTATTGCGCTAGATAATTATGGCTTAGCGCACCTGAAAACAACAACTTATGCGATCATTTTGTTGAGCTCCTCTCTCCATGGGCGTGACTATTTGTTGACCTTTTGGAGCACCTCCTATGTTTGTGACCCCATTCTGCCGACCTAGAGAGGATTTGGCTTCACTAAGGATGTTGGAATGACCTCCATGCCCGATCTGCCCCCTTGTTGGACAATCGGACCTCCGACCGCTACTGGAGACACTGATGAGCCCCCTAAACCCGAAGGGTTTAGAATCAGGGTGATTGACTTTGGGGTAGACCTAGAGAAGCCCGGTGGTGGGCCTGATCCTAATGTACGACTGGAGACCCATGCCTCGTCAAAGCTGGGCTTCAGGTTCCTTCTGGGATCTTCATTTGCCATGGCAAGTGGTGATTTATGGCTTGGTATCGCAAACGACATCAACCCGGGTGAAAGTCTTTTGAACCGCTCACGCACCGGTGAATGAACTGCAAAACATAGCATGGGGTGGTCCATGCGTAGAAGCTCCAATGCTTAAGTCAGTAAACATGGATGAAGATGAGGATAAACAGTCTCTAATTGTATGTATATAAGTCTGAGTATTTAGGGTGTGTTTGTAAACCAATAAATTTACTCAAAGTGAGTTTTTTAGTTAACTAGGGTTAATTTTGGAAAAAAGTTATATAGTTAGTAGTTAGTGGAATTTTGAGTTTATATTAAAATAATATTTAAAATAAAATAATTAAAGTTGATGTGATGTAAAAGTATGAGATATATGATATGAAGTGATGGTTAGTTAAATTATATGAGTAGATGAATAGTGAATTAAGTTGGATATGATATGTAAAAATGATTGTTTGTTATTATTTTAATTATATTGATAATATTGAGGATAGTGGAGTTGAGTTAAAATTGAATTAGATTTTGAGTATGAATTAATTTGGATTGAGATATTTATTTTACAAACACACCCTTAGTATGTAGAATTATAATGTATTCAAATGGAATTCCAACGAAAATTCCAACAGAAATATATTCCAATGGAATTCCAACGAAAATTCTAATGGATATTCCAATGCTATTATTTCCGTTGGAATTTTCCAACAGAAATTCCATCAAATATTCCTTGTAATGAGTTTTCCAATGGAAATTCCATTGAATTTTGACGATTCCAACAGTACATTTTTCAGCGGTTGAAATAGGGATGAAAATAAAAAATTCAACGAAAATTGTATATTCCAACAGAAATTCTAACGGTTAAAACCCGTTGGAATAATGGTCGTTGGAATGATATAATTGTTGGAAATAATAATGATTGTAAAGGCGAATTAAGAACGAGTTCAACACATATACGTATTAAGAATTTGAAATAGAAACCACAAACATTCAACCACGGGAACGTGAGATGAAACCAGATTTCTATTAGTAAATAAATAACTTTATTATAAAATTAAATAACTTAACTGACAGTTCTATATTGTTATAGAACACATATAGCCGAATCACAGAAACAATCTGTTTGCCTTGAAGAAATAGACGCCCCGATACTGTGCAACGAGTACTACGCCTTTTCTCCCAGGATAAGACGGCT